CCCCCCCACTAGCCTCCATGGATTAGCTGGCTCCGTGATGCAATAAAGGGGCGGGGCGCTAGTGTGGATGGGCGGGGGGGGGGGTCCCTGACTAGGCCTTTTTATAACACTAAACACATCAGTTGATGATTTTGTTGCATTACGTGTTTGTACATCATAGTATTTAACCTTTAAAGGGCCAGTAATTATGTGTTATCCAGGCACATAGAGCCTATTTTTAGCGCAATTAAGTAACTATGTCACTATGTCACCTTCACTGGCTATAAAATACTATAAAAATCAAATATGACTTAAAAGAAATTTAACCTTGTAATTTAACGCTTTGAAGTTGGGGTTTTGTCTCTTTAAATTCTCCTTTTTTTCCGAAAAAGTCATAACATTGCTTCTCTATTAATTGTTTAAGAACATTTTTACCAGCGTTTCACTGAAAAATAGTTTGTAATGGGCTCAGCAGATGAACAGTTCCACCAGGTGTTTGCTAATTGCTGCTGGCTAGTCTGAAGGAGCTGAGTGGGGGAGATGTGGGGGAAAACTGCTCTGTGAGACGGAAACTGCAGATCTGAGGATGGGCTTCATCTCAAAGGTGGGGCTAGCTCCACCCATGGGTGAATGGTTGCCATGGGGATTAAAGAATTTCTCAAATATATATGAAAAAAATCAATACAACCCCCCAGATATGTTTTTGATGAGGTAATAACATTATAACATGATGTAAAGCTTGAAAAGTTCATTTTATGTGATACTGCCCCTTTATAGAAGTAAAACCTAAACCAGTGAAAAGGTGATCATTATCGAGTCTGTTGTGAAGGACAGGGAACCAGGAGAACAGGTGAAACCGAGCAAGTAGTTACTGAAGTTTACGAAATAGGAAATGTCAAATAGTTTTTTTCTTTCTTTTTTTTTTTCTGATGAAAGTTCCATTTTTCATACACTCCTTCAGGTTTGGCTGTCTGATAGATGTTTTTTCTTCTTCTTTTAGATGATAAATTATAACATTATTATGTGACATCCAGCATTGCTTGGTCCCCAAAGGCTTTGTTTATACCAGACCATTGCCTGGAAACTGCTGCCATCTTCTGTTGTTGATTAGGAAGAAGTTCCATGTTTAGATAAAGCTGGTAAATAACAGTGGTGGTGTGAGGGACTCTGCTCACCGATGCCGTGTAAATGAGT